GAGCACTCATGGTAATTTCCACCATCAGACCGGGTACTATGCTCCTTAACATTCATCCCACCTGCATCGTGTCCTTGACATTCTTAGTACAAAGCTATGACTTGTCGCATAGATAATGGACGTACTTCGCTTTCCTGCAGTTTCAACCTCGCCTGAGTCTCATCAGCACCCCCAACATGAATGCAACTAGTTAAGGCTGAGCTCCAGGCGATGTCGAAACTGTAGTCTATTCTGGATGAGAGTACTCCTTAGGACAAATGGCTAAGCGAAATTCAGTGTAATTGTGAGGCTTACCCACATGCTAGTGGGAAAATTCTGTTATCAGTCGTTCATCACCGTATGCAGACTAGGGTGAAAGCATCTCTTACTAAAGGATCCATGGTAGTTTCGAAACCTTTTCAGTATGAACATTTTCGCCCATCGAACCTAGTATATGCGAAGAAAAGTTGGGTTTCGATGAAGAGATCCGAAGCTCGTTCCCACCAGAAAACGAGAAGGATTCCTTTTGGCCAGCTGTTGATTAGCTTTACCGGAAGATTGTTTCGGGGACAGAATCAACAAGAATGTTACGGTAACGCCGACCGACATCTGGCAAAAGGAATCCGTCGTGGTCCTCTGGTGGGATCGACCTTGGAATCTCTTGCTCACACTCAATCGAAATGGAAGTTTTTGTACAACGTCGTCGAATGTCAAAGAAAAGGAAGCTGGGAATTTCTTAAAGGCAGGTCACTTGCCGAGAAACCATGCTGTAGGCTAGTTTCCTGACTGTATCCTATTCACTTTTTTCGTATCTTATATACAGCAGCCACTTCTCCAATGACAGGGGAGCCTTAGTGATTTTAATCTAGCCAACACGGGAATAAGAGTCTAATTAAATTATCATAAGTCTATTATTGTATGTCCACACTTGATAATTGTAGTATTGAATCGTCACTTAAAGCGACAATAATGGCCGTTTGGTGCCGATATATGTGCCCGTTGCAGGAAATTACAGGGAGCTTTGCCAAAGTAAAGCTTGAGTTCAGAGTGAAAATCATAACAAAAGTCAGTCATAATCCACAATAGACTACAGCTTCGAGCTCGTCTCGGTTTCATCAGCTCTTCCAGTGGGATTCGAAGCGTGGACGAACGAGTTTAGAGATGAAAGCATTGTCAATAACCAAAGCCAATTGTTGCTGCTCTATAACGGGAACACAGTATTCCTATTCAATAAAATGATAAAAAACTGGATTTGGTAGTACTCCTTAATAATCTTCTACCATCTAGCCAGTTTTGTGTGAAATTTCGTGTGGAATAGCATAAATCAATTTGAGCGGAAATCGGGAGAAGCGTTAACTGAGCTTAAATGTACCTGGAGCACCGTCGACTGATTGCCGAGTTTTCGTGTGGCCCCTAGTGACAAAGAACTTATTTCAATGAAGAGGACCAATAGGGGAGGTAAGCAACATTTATACTTATTTATACTTAGCGTGAATATAGTTTGAAATTATCAGTAATTATTAAATAAGGATTTAGTCACCCTAGGTCCCTTAGGATGAATTAAGGACTGAAGGTAAATTTTTGCTCACAATCACATGGGTAGGCCTCACAATGCCAATGAATTTCATTTAAGCATGCCTCCTTAAGTGTTTCTCATTCAGGGTGGATTGCAGCTTCGACATCACCAAACGGGCTCAGGAACCGGGTCATGATCATCGTGTGACTCCTTAAAATTATACAGCACAATCACTGATGCCGAAGAG